AAAAAACCAAAGATGTGCAATTTTGCATCGTTATCACATTACTTATTATATGCATACAGAATATTTCTACCAAATTGTTTGTTTAAGATTAAAAAGCCGTTTACGTCCAACAATGAAAGAAAATAACATAACATCAAAGGCTTCAAACAATTGTAAGGAGACACCCAAGTGCGTATTTAAATTGAAATCATGTTTAAGATTGACAAACGACAGAGTAATACGTAATTACTGTCGTCAATGATATTGATTTCCAACAAATAAAGCACTTGCTTTCCTTTTTGCGATGGTCAATTACTCAATTATTGCGTGCCTAAACTCAGTTTTCCACAAGAAAATCAGATGAAACAACTTAATCGATAACGTTGGCCTTTTATCTTAAACAGATAAGCAGATAAGTGTTTCCTCCCACTCTCAATCCGATCACAACCCAACCGATTACACCGTTAAACAGATCGAATAACGGAGTAGATTAAATTCGTATTTTCTCAATGTTGAAAGAGATCGCAAATAGAGTTTAAAAATCCTAAGATGTTGGACTTGTCAATGGCACTCAAAGCCAACTCTGGACCATCCCATAATCGAAACCAACCCTACCAATTTACAGCCACCCTCATAATGCATTCTCAATCAATCAGATCAAAGATCATTGTACCAATTAAAGGCACAAAAACGAAAAGCTTCAAAGCTCCAGCGAGAATAGAGCAGAGAAAATCACACAAACTGCAATTTAAATGGATATACTTTCCCTAGTTTTGGGGAAACACCCCACACCAAATTATAGTTCGGATTCGGATCGGCACTCTTAATTTTGTATGGAATTAAAGAGCACATCTTCAAGAAAAACACTTGCATATTTCCATGCTAGCAACTTTGAGTTGAAAAAAGCCACAACAGGTGAAAATTACATTGTGATTTTAAGAGCTAACCACATTCACTAATTCAAAGGGCGGTACATGAAGCAGAGTAATTAGAAAGAAAAAGAATATCCAAACATCATTATATGAATCTAAATGGGCAAAAATTGCAGCAGAGAGCTAGTCTAAAAAGGGATGGATGACTCAATCCAGCTTTACCCTGTCCATATCATTGATAACCCCTTCAAGCTGCCATGAAAAAAGGAAAAGAAGGATTAATTAAACATTTTCTTAATGTTGCTAAATCCGATGGAAAAGATGGATAACAAGGAATTGTGCATACCTTCACAATTTGCCGCAAGAAGTAATCCCCATATCGTTTTGCTGGTTTTGATTCGACAACATAAATCAAGTCCTGCAGCAGAATGAAAATATTATATCCAGCAACATGTAAATGTCTTCACTTACCATGTTCCAATACAGTGAATTAATCACATATAACTTCAAAGTTCTTGCATATTTAAGTTTTTATTTTTTGGAAAGGGAGACGATTGTCCAATAATTTTCATACAGACTGATGTGATGAGAACATAGGTAGATCCTCCAAGTGTAAGAGAAGGGAATTGTCAGAACTACTTAACCCATTTCCCTTCACAAGCACTCACATCACTTTCTTTCTTCTTTAGGGCATTGAAATTCCTCGTGCAGGTCAAACTAGAGATAGAAAACATGGGTTCGCTCAATTTGTAAAACATATAATTAGTAATCTCATGTAAATCACATTGAAATCCAAAATCTGGGCTAGGTAACTGCTGTACAAGATTAGCTGATGACTTAAGCTAACACTTTTTCTAGATTTTATGGGGCTGAAATTGATGATTCCTCGAGAAAAATCAAATGAAACAAGTGCCCAAGGAGTTCTAGTTTCTGACATCAGGTCAAATTTAGAGGATTTCCTACAAATACGCCCTTGGAACTTTGTGACCTTACATAAGTTTTCCATCAACAAGGTAGAAGATAATAGAAGAAAACGTACATCATCAATATAGAAATCCACATCAGCATTGGAAATGATTTTTCCGTCAGTATCAACAGCATGTGTCTTGTGCTTGTATGTCAACAAGATAGTCCTATAAGGCAGAATGAAAAAATAACATTATTATAAAATCAAAAGAAGAATTATATAAACATAACTTAAAGAATATCCTCATCAAGTACCTCAACTTGGATTCATCCACTTCCATGTAGCTTGCTAGCTTCGCAAGAGAGATGGATGAATATACTTTTAAAAAGGTCCGAATGCCTGATAATAACTGTTGCTGCTTCACTTCATAAAGGAACAGCTTCAATTGAAGTCTATAAGCATCCTGCAAGAAGTAAAATGGCATTTAATAAATTATGTGTGCATGTCCACACACTCATTCAGAGAGAGAGAGAGAGAGAGAGAGAGAGAGAGAGAGAGAGAGAAATATAACACCCAAAAGAGAGAATCTAATGCAGCAACATATAGCCTCTAAAAGTAAGACTTCCATTTTTTCCCTTGCATAACTGTTGTCCAACCTTAAACCCCACAGCCCAACTAAAGACAAGGTTTAATTTGCTGTCTGGTATGATCTACAAAGAAACTCCACGGTTGATGGCATTTTGGGTATTGCTTTTGGCATTTTCAGTAAGTGCATGTTTCAAACAGCTCAGGAACTGATAATATGCATGTATCACGTCTATCGTCATCTCGTGTCAAATGCATGATACAATCCAGAACAGATTATTAAAATTATAAACTCCCGAGAAACTCCACCATCTATGGCATTTTCAGTAAGTGTATGTTTCAGACAGCTCGTGAACTGATACCATGCATATGTATTAAAATGCATGATACAATCAAGAACTGATAATTAAATTATATGCATTATTCTCCTCATAACATATACACAAGGCACTAATTTAGTAATAATCATTTGAGCATCACATTATACTGTCCTGGAAGCTGACTTCCACTACACAATTTCATATACTTGTTGTTTTCCGAATTGGAAATATTTCAGGCACTGGGTATTTCCGTTTGCCTTGTTGGCCCTACATACCTGGTTGTAATTAACAAGAGGCTCCTCAAAACTTGGAGGGGATGGGGTAATGAACTTAGGGCATGCATACGAGAAGAGTTCATCATAAATAGCAAATGCTTCATCATCGTATCTTTGCATCCTGATCATCTTTTCACCATACTTCTCACGCAACTGAGAGTTCACAGTTTCCTCAACAAGCTTCACCTGTGGACACAGTGAAAGGGAAATTGCCAACAGGGCATACATCTGCTCATTCTTCTTTAGTATCTGCTCATACTGTGGAGACTTCTGATGGTACTGCTTGGTTTTATAGATGTACAACAGAATCTTATTAAATTCACGAATTGCCTCCACGTACCTGCAAGGAAACTAATAATATTTGTAAGGCTCCAACAACAAGTTTTCACACACAACACACAAACACGCATCAGAAAAGTGAATTAAAATGTTCTTAAATACGAAAAGAGCAATCATACCTACGCAACATAAGATTAGCAAAACCATAATGATAAATGGTGGTAATGTGGCTTCCAATAACAGTTGTGTAAACACCTTGCTGGGTAATGTCAATAGGCTGCAAGCATTTCAGGCCAGTATGATAATCACCCAAGAGACAATGTACCCGAAGCAATCCCACCATGCTGAAATACCCCAACACCTTCAAAACATTACTCCCACCATTATAATCATACCCATCTGTAGCAGTAAACTGCTCAAGCCCTTCCTTCTCGTGCTCGAGAATCTGAATGATCATGGACTTCTCCACCAGAGCTTGCAAAAAGTTAAGCACACCATACACATTCCAGGCCTGCAACAAAAACAATGAACACAATTCAGGGTCATCTTAGATATCAATGTTCCCCAAATTAGAAACGAATGTGACGATTCTTACTTGATCAAACTGTCTGAGAAGGGCAATCTCCTGCTCAGTCTTGTTCTTCATCTTAGCTCTGTACTGGCAAAAGCTCTGGAACTGGTACACGAACTCGTCGACCATGTCCCATAGCCACTGGTTGGGCAGCTGCATATTAACGACGCCGTGGAGGACGACCTGGAAGAGGCTACAATAATTGTCCCAAGAGTCGATTCTCTGCTTCAGCGTCGGCGACAGCCTAGCGTACAGGTGGCGGAACCACATCTCGCGGTAGAGGAGGCAGAAGACGTGGTCATTGTCGATGTAGTGGGCGACTGCGTCGACGGAGGGCCATGGCGTGTCCTTGAAGAGCCGATCGGAAAGCGTCTGAAACGACGTCTCGTACATCTGGTGGATCTCGTACACATTCTTCTCGCGGATGTGGCGGTAGAGGTGGACGACGAAAGATTTGACGGAGTCCGGGACGAAGTTCGGGTCGTACCCTAGGTCTTGAGATGGAGGGGCTCCGGACGACGCCTGGCGCTGTGTCGCTGACGTTTCGTCGTAGGTCCCTGGTGCATCTTCGTAGTCGTACGCGGCCATGGTTGGTTGTGGCTTAAGAAATTGAATGTGGGGGATGTGCCGCTCAGCCACAGACACTATGCAGAGACGATTTGAGAAGGAGAGAGGTGAGTTAGGGTTTTACACCTTCTACTGGAACACAAAACTGACCAACAGATGTCGTAGGATTTGGATTGGGTTTGGTTTGGGCGCATAAGTTGGATCGGGCCTTTTATTGGGGCCTGTCCTAAACGGCCTTTTTCTTCTGTTACATGATATGGCTCACCACCACGTTATTGCGTTGAAGAAAAAATGACATTGCATCATCACAAGTAAGCCTGTCGTATGGATTGAGAAGATAATTTGGTAAAAATGTTGAGTAGTGTAGCAATGATAAAAATCTTTGACTACGACAGCACATCTAATTAGTAGATTTGGTCGACAGCCGTAGCTGTTCAACTACAGAAGGGTTAGATGACAACGAGCTTAAATTAGGGCAATTGAGTCTGGAACAGATAGCTCCGCAAGAGACTTGCAAGTTGCAACAAATGCTCGATTTTCATTTTCACACACGGAAATTGAGAGAAAGAGACACCGGTTAGATATTCACAGGCAACCAAGATTACCAGAGTGGGCGTGTGCAACAGACATGGTACAAAATCGACATGAACCTAAGTCCCGAAGTTAGCATTTCACTTTGTGTTACGTCATGATCACTACAACGATTTTAAAGCTGGCACCTTTGATAAGCCAAAATTTGAATTTATACTACTCTATGCTCTCCTGAAGTTGTCAAAAATCTGCCGGAAGCTGTGTAGTTCTGAAAGGCTTCACTTAAACGCCAAACCATTCGCCTGTTAGAATTGGAATTACATGAGAAGGTTCCTAATAACTGTTTGGTTCATCTTCTTCATCGGACGATAGGAGCGACGACCCCATCCATGTCTTAAACCCTTCATTAACCCTCCTTTCCACCTCTGGTGTCACTTCCAAGGGATTCTCCAACATTTCAAGCCCTAGGTTTCGACCACCAAATTCTCCCTCATCAAGGATTGCAGCTGCTCTCCGTCTCAGAAAAAAGGCAGTTCCTCCGTATAGAAGAACCATCCCCCAACACCCACCCTCATAGCACCAGAACAGGGGCATAGAGCAGGAGCTTCCTTGTGTGAGGAGGCTTGAACCAAGAAACAATGCAAGAAGACCAAAAATGACAGCAAAGACAGCATTCAGAATAGATAGGCATCGAACCCCACCTGCATATTACAATATCAGAGTTCAGACATCACTTAGGTTCTCATGCAACCTAGTCTTTTTGGCCAAATATTACATCATATAAACAAATGGCAGACATAATTTCATTTTTTTAGATGCTGGAAAATAATCCATTGAAAACAGAACGGTAATAGTTGAAATTGTATTGCAAAATGCACTTGTGAAGAACCATACAGGATAGAGGGATAATTCCAATATGGAAATAAAACTTCAAACTATTCAAACTAAAATTAGTTTAGGACACGTTAGTGTGATCTGAGGTTAGGCAATTTAGTTATAGAGCAACACTAGTAAAAAGTTAACGGACAAAAAGGCATGCTGAATTTTGTAATATTAAAAGAAAAATGATATGATAAAAACGATGAACAATCTGTACCACAAGAAAAACAGCAACAGAACAGATGAACATCTGTATGCTCATTCTAGCAAGGAATCCATAAGGAGTGTGAGAACTCTAAAGAGGGAATGCAAGCAATCATTTAGAGCTCTCTCTAATCGGCAAAAGAGAGCCCAGCCCAACCTGCCAAATAGCTGTAAGAATCCTAGTTTATTTTATTTACCTGGACTTATTGGCAACTAAACAAAGTATGAACATTTTCTGCAGCACACTAAATTCTTTAGACAGACAGCCTCATTATTTAGGAGTAAAAGCAAGATTCCAGAGAAAACATGACTTGTAACAAGTCCAGTCATACGTGATAAAACAATAGAAAATGGCGACTGATGTATAGTGGATACAGTAGTTCATTTGAGGAGGAGGGAAGGAGGGAGCATACCTCTTTTTGAAGCACAGTAGTTATTCTCAACTACCTTTAAGCATCCGTGTCTTGTTGGAGCAGAATAAGCAACAGCGATTCCTACAACCAGATTGAAGCTATGAGAACTTGAAAACCATTTAGCATATCCAAATCAAATTATTGCCCCGCTAATGGTTAGATACAACCCATGTAGAATCATGTGACAATATCCCAATGAACAATGTCCCTTTAACCACATAATATGCCATGCATATCCAAATAACCACATAATATGCCATGCATATCCAAATAATACTAATTTCTAAGCAGAACTCCATGCCTAGGCATGAAGTTGGTCACAAGGAGTGAATCATGCTACAGAATACTGAGAACCAAAGAAAAAAAAATTATTATAAATTTTTTTCAGTTATACACAGAGTTTGCAGGAATCTTCTAATTCATATACAAACTTGGCAGAGAAAATGATAACCATGTGAAGTGTGACTTGGTGTTACTAGTTACTAGTCATGTCTCTAATCCAAAACAGCCTATGCATTAAGCTTTCATGTTTTAAGATCGCAATTCAAACTTACATTTGCCAAGAGAAGATTTACCCCGTTTCTAGATTCTAGGCAACAACATCCCAAGGACCCAAGATCATGGAGTTATTCTTATTTTTCCATTAAAGAGATTTAATTGTTCCTTTAGTGTCTTCTCCAACCCACCTAAGTCAGTTCCAGGTACACGTAGCCCTCTGTAAAAGATCATTGAGTTTTTTCCTCGAAGTACGGCATGGGTTAATTCAATGCATGTCACCTAGTACTCATACGCCAGCTACAAGCATTCTTTCTACCCTTCTTATCACTTGGTGAGAGCAAGTTACGTCTTTGAACCACAACCATCTTGCATTCTCTACAGAGATATCAACTTGAATATTATGAGCATGAATCTATTCCACCTTGCCAAAACTCTAATTTATAATTCAAAGATATTTAGACCATAGTTATCCGAACTAGCAAATCCCCAGTTAGAAATGCCATCACTACCGCAGTTTTAGTGATTTTACCAAGATTACAAGTATCCAAGATTCCCCAAGTCTTTCCCCTTGTTATCACTGATCTCACGCATTCTTTACTGGATCGTTGGCGAAATTTACGAAGTTTCCACTTTCCCAAAACCCAAATAAATGAAAGAAAACGCAAAAATGAAAAACTTAACTCCCTCTCTCTTAAATTTATTAGCGCCGAAATAACATATTCAAATTGGAAACAATCAAAGTAGAGCCTAAAGCTTCTTACCCGCAACAAGATACACGAAGGTAGCCAAGAAAATGATCATAGAGGGAACGAACACAACCATCCAATAGTAATCCGCAATTTCTTGATCCGTAAGATAAAACGCTCCGGGAAACGGATCAGAATCGCCCCCTCTCACATTCATCGGTAGAGAATTAAGCCTCCGGTCGCCGCAGAACGGCCGCTTCGCCGGGTCGCCAGGAAACACAATGTTCAAGCTGATAACCGTGCACACAACAACTACGAAACAGACGAGAGCCATGGACGCCATTAACAGAGGTCTCTGAATCTTGCCCCAAGCTCTGTCTTCTTCCCGGAGGCTCATGTACTCGTGCTTGGGCATGAAGGCCTGGCGAAGCGCGTCGCCGATTATCGCCATTTTGGAACCAAGGTTTGTGCTTGTTCAGTGTTCGTTTGAAGAAACCCTAGCTCAATCAGATTCAAAATGAACTGGCTCTTGACTGCTTGCACTGATGATGGATTGATTGATTGACCGACAGAGGAAACCCTAGCTTCTTCAATTCCCCCAAATTTGGGGCTCTTGATCCAAAGTTGGAAGTGTTGAAATTCAAAGGGAAAATGTAAACCCTAAAATTCTAAAGAAGTATTATGTATGGGAAGTTGGGTGTTGTTGCTTTCAGATATGATCAGCAGCAGCAAACATTTTCCCCTTTTTTACGCATGTTTTGGGATTTGGCGGGTTTTGGTGTGTGGTGGCGCGTACACTTCCCAACCGCTTGATTTGCTGGAAAATTAGTTCCTCGCCGTTAAATCATAATAGTTGGCCTTTGTTTTGTGTTGGAATAATTAGCCTGATTTTGTTTTTTCTGTTGGAGAATGGTGAGTCCACTAACCACCCGTCTGAAACGTAAATCCATAAAATAAAATTAAAATGGCATAAATCCATTAGAAGAAACAAGAACCTCATTGACATTTCTTGATTGTCGATACAAGACTTGGAATCACAAATTAAAATTATGTATTTTGCTTCTTACATTAAATATAATTTAACGAGTTTGTCTTTAATCGCCGTAAGGAAATAGACTTTTCACACTCTTATATAATGAATCTCTTAAATTTTTATGTCAAATTGATAAAAGAAAATAAACTTTCCAATTAGGTATACTTCGCGCAAAAAAGGAACCTCATCATTATTTTGTTTTCTTATTAATTAAGAGAGATCATATTTAGTTTGATAAGAATTTAGGTGAATCATATATGCTTTTGTATGTGTTACGTTTGAGTATTAATTTGTTCAACCAAAAGTTGGCATCAACATTAGCAAAAAAAAAAAAAAAAAAAACATAAATTAATGCCACCTATACGAGTTTTGAGTTTGAAAGCTTAATAACAAATATGTGTGAATTAGGGTCAAATTAGACATTATCTTGTTGAATAGTAGGTTGTGATCGAATGTTAATAGAGCAATCGAAAGTGTACTAACAAAGATGTCCGGCCTCCAATAAAAATAAATTGTAGGTACTTTGTGTGGTACCCAAATTCCCAATCCACATCGAATGAATGTGAAAAAACAAAATGCTTCGTACTTATAAATTTTATCATAATCAAATTCGTCCGTATGCACAATTCTCATTTTATAAACAATTATTTTCATAAGGTATAAGGAAAATAAACATTTCAGTCATTGGTTCCCATTAAATATTGTTGGCATTTGGGATCAATAATGTACAATCATTGCTATCTGAATCTTATGAAATCCAATTGTTTCTGGTAAATCAACTGTTTCCAAGTCATACACATGATTTCTAAACATACTCAAAATTCATCCTCCAAGTACCCGAGTGTAGAGTCCACGCGCCACCAGAAACCGTGGTGGTGGCATCCATTTCAATCCCATTATATTATACCGAAGCTGTTGAAGAACGAGATATAAAAAAGTAATGTTAAAAGCGGGACCCACCCTATGATATGCCCGGTCAACCGCTTAAAGCTCTGAGCTTTGATCTCACTGCTTCTCTGAGCTCTCTCTCTGATCGCTTCGCTTCCATGGCTTCCCTCCCATCTCTCCCAAAACCCATCTCGCAAAACCCACCCTTTCCCACAAAACCAGCTGCCCATTCACATAGCTTGAACGTAATTCCACGAAATCATTTATTTACGGGACATGTGTTGCTTAATTTTCAACATGGGTCGTTCAGAGCCAGAGAGATGAGGGTCATCAGAAGCTCGAACCAAACCGAAGCTATGCCTGGTAAGCTTAGCCTCCCTGTTCATCTTTCTAGTTAAATTTTTGGAAGAAAACAATTTTTTTTTTCTGTTTTGTAAATTTTTTGTTTTTAATCTAGCTGCTAAGACTGACAAAGATAACATTTTTCTGCCAGATTATAGCATTCAAGTCTCTGATGTTCCACTGCTGACTTGCTCAGAGGTCATTTTCTCATCTTTGAAATGTCTTCTTATTTTAAGTTCTTTGCTTGCAGTGAAAGTTAGAAAAATACAGTGAAAAATTGATGAGTAATTGATGCCTTGGGTTGAGACTTGTTTGATTCACGACCAGGTTAGTTTAGAGATTGGTACTAAATAATATTCATATCCAAGAAGTTTTGTTTCTCCTGTTTTTCTTTCTAGAATAGGCAATTGAAAGGCTAAAAACATACCGGGAAAACCAACACGGTAAGCAGCAATTTCTCGCCATGTACTCCAGCATTTTTGGAGGAATAACAACTGATCCAGCTGCTATGGTGATCCCCATTGATGACCACATGGTCCACAGAGGGCATGGTGTTTTTGACACTGCTGCTATAAAAGATGGGTTAGTGATTTTGGCCTCGTGATGCCAGCATAAGTTTTGTTGAACACCAAATATGGATTTCGAACGCTTGTGTGATCTTAACACACACACATGGGCCTTTTACAGGTTTTATTTCACTAATTTCAAGTTTCTCTGTATGTTTTACACATCCTAGGTATCTGTACGAGTTGGACCAGCACCTTGACCGTATTTTAAGGTCAGCATCCATGGCCAAAATTGACGTACCATTTGATCGAGAACGCATAAGGAGAATACTAATACAAACTGTGAGTGCTTCCAAGTGCAAAACAGGATCACTAAGGTACTGGCTCTCGACAGGGCCTGGTGATTTTCAGTTATCTCCATCTGGCTGCCATCAGCCAGCTCTTTATGCTATTGTAATCCAAGATCTATCACCCTTCAATTCGAAGGGCGTTAAAGTAGTTACTTCATCGATCCCAATAAAACCTCCCCAATTTGCAACCATGAAGAGTGTGAATTATCTTCCAAATGTGCTTTCGAAGATGGAGGCTGAAGAAAAAGGTGCATTTGCAGCAATTTGGCTGGACCGTGATGGATTCATTGCTGAAGGGCCTAACATGAATGTGGCTTTTGTTACAAAAGAGAAGGAACTTGTGATGCCTCAGTTTGACAAAATCCTAAGTGGATGCACAGCTAGGAGAGTTTTGGTTCTTGCAGAAGGGCTGATGAGGGAGGGTAAGCTTCGGGGAGTAAGGATAGAAAATGTGACTGTTGAGGAAGGGAAGAAGGCAGATGAGATGATGCTTATCGGCAGTGGAATTCTCGTTCGCCCTGTAGTGCAGTGGGATGAGCAGGTCATTGGTGATGGTAAGAACTTCTCTGCACTATGCTGTGCACTTGTAGAATGTTTAGCAGGCACAAAGACATACAACATGCACGCATACAAGTACTTGAACAACGTTATAAATCCATACACGCTTTGGCACCAAATATTTGCATATATTTTCTAGAATCATGTTGCTGTGCCTGTTCAGACTGCCCCTTAGATTTATTTTGAAATGTTTCTTGAACTACTAGTTTCAAATGATATTGCCTGTTCAAATTTTGCTTGTGAAACCTCTGGATTTGATTTACAAAAACATTTGCTTCTTTATTATAGGCAAAGAAGGCTCCTTGACTCAGATTATATTGAATCTTATTATCGAGGACATGAAATCTGGCCCTCCTACTGTCCGAGCGCCTATTCCTTACTAAGCTGGCACAAGACGACACTTTCAATTCTGTTGAAATTTCAAGTGCCGGAAATCTATCATTACCCAATCGTGACATTCCTGCCCTGTGCACGCAGCTCTGTCGTCCGGTTGTACTTTGAGACTCATAAGTTTCTTGAATTCTCAACCTAACTCCTTTTCTCCATTGCTAAGGACTAGAGGAAGGCAATTCTATTATGATGTGTAGCTTCATTTTTCTTTTTCTGTCATTTCAGTGGTGTTGTAAAGGCCAGTCGCAGTTTTCATTACTGTTAAGAAGCCAAAACTTCTAGTGTATTTTTCAGTGTTAAAAGATTACATGTGCAAGTTTTCACCTTCTCCAAAATGGTCACTAAAGATTCCTCCTAGCCTATGAACAATAACAAGTCGATGCAAGATTTTATTGCCGATAAAGCATCGAAAAGGTACGTATCTAAGGAAATTTCAGTTTCATCTAAACAAGTTGATCATCAAGGTAAAAATTCTAGGGAAAGCAAAACATGGTCGTATTCACTGTTTGATATGTTATATTATTAGATTGTAAATATAAACCATATCAAACGAACTTTTGTCTGAATATATGGTTTTGATGAAATAAGGTCAGCATAAAAAGTAGCTTTCAATTGAGCATATATTTTGTATTCATAGCCCCCACTTGGAGACCATGGTAAGGAAATTATTGAAATTCAACATGCCTTTTCAAACACACCAAAAAGAAAAGACAAATTAACGATTGCATGATACACTAACATGATTTGATCAAGGAACTTGAAACTACTGGTGATGGAAAATTAAAACAAACAATTAAGGGGGGGCAAATCCTAAGTTTATTTATAATTATTAAAACCTAGTGGAGCATTTGTTCTTAAATATATGCTGCATCCACCTAGTTGTTACCTAAGCCAGGGCTTAACAAAAGGGGATGCTTATTCTAAACCAATAATTGCCACGGGCAGAGCATAGCTTTTTATAGTGGGGTAGGTTCCAGTTGTTTCATTTTCTGTGGCTTTGTGTTTGGATTTTCTGCATCGTTTGCCGTTGTTTAGATATTGAGAAAAATAAGATCAAAATGCTAAAAAAAAAAAAGGAAAAAAAAAAAGTGTGGACTTTACCATTTGTTGGTAACAGAAGTGATAATTGTGATGGATTTGGATTAATTTCACTCTTAAAATGCAGCCAAACTAACTAACCGTTGAGCAATGCGATTTGTTTCTGTTTTTGCTAAATTTCATGAGAGAAATCAAACTAAATCATGTTAGTTTGTGCGAGGATGTGAATAATTGTCTCACATTGGTTAATGGAGTATACTGGAAAATGTCATCGACTTGTAGACCGTGGTCTCAGATTCAAACTATCATAACACCTTAGTAGTGTGTATGTGCGAAACTCCCATCTTTTTGGGATTATATATAATTTAAACTATTATTTGTATTTAAAAATAAATAAAAATCTCTTGCATTGGAATGTGAGGGGGGTTATAACAAGTTGGGTTACTCTGTCTATCAATTGTCAATTGATTTTGAGATTTACCTAAGGGAGATATCAAATTTGAATTTGATGGCTGATGTGGCAATTTGACATCTTATATAGCTTTACACCCCACCCCATATGTTAAATTAAATTATTATTTTATTACATTTTAGTGTTGATTTTTTTTAATTAAAAAGAAAAGAAAAGAAAAAATAATAAAATATTCATTTGACATTTTGCTCTTGGGATGTCAAAAATAACATCTCAACTTCCAGCCTTTATTTTACATCAGCTTTGACACATCAATTGGAGTGAT